GGAGAGTTGTCAAAACTACTAATTATTTTTTCTTTTCGCCCTTGACTATCATTAATTCCTCCTAAATGCAAACTTCAAACAATTAACTGAGCCCATTCATATAAACCCCCATGGAATTCGTTGGCTCCAATTTCATATTTAATGGCTTTTTCTTTTCATTCTTTTTTTGGAACATCTTTGTAGAAACTAGTTGCCTCATCACTATTAGCAAATTTTTTATCTACATAACTTTCATGTCATCCATACAACTCTTTTTCAGTGTAAGGAGTTTCGATTGCCGGAATAAAAATTAGTTCGTTTTTTTGCGGAGTATTCTTAAATAACTTTTCTTTAATCACTTCGTCATTAGTTCACTGATAATTCTTATTTAAAAATTCAGTAAACTTAAAAAAGGTTTCTATTTCGGTTTTGCCGAAAGGAGTATCTTTCATTCCGGTTCCAGTATCATTAGCAAAGTTATGTCCGAAACTTCATTCGTCTCGCAAGGCTCCTTGGCTTTTATCAGCCGTTTTAACCAAATTTTTAGCATGGGTTTTTAAACTAGTTAATCAGCCGTTTACTTTGGTGGCATTATCTCCGGTTTCGTAAGCAACGGTTACTCCGCTTGGTTTTTTAGTAGTTAGATAATCATTAAAAGTTTCCCCCGCGGTAGTAGTGTCAATTTTTTCATACTCCTTTAAAGTAAGGGTAATCAACTTAATCAGTTCTGATTCGATCATCTTTACTCGTTTTTGTTGATGACCTCCACCACTATAAAGGTTTATATCATAAAGATTAGTATATTCTTGCGGAGTAGCACCCGTATAAGGTGGGGTGAACTTTTGCTTAGTGTAATTATCTACCAGTTTAATTCATCCTTTGGTTCGATAAGGGTTAGTGGTTCCATTTGCTGACAAGAAACTATTATACTGGTTGGTATAATTTTTTCCGGTAGTTAAGTTGGTTTTATATTCAGCAATTGTCGGTTCCAATTTATCATGTTGCAAACTTATTTCTGCAAAGGGTCGGAGATAACCGCTTTTAACTTTTAAAATAGTTTGTTTAGTAGTTAAATCAGTAATTAATTCATCTCTTTCATTTAGTAAGTTTTCAATCTCATTAACTTTAAGTTTAATCGTTTCTCCGGCATCGGCCGAGACTACTGTTCCATCCGGTTTAGTTTCACCTTTTTTAAATACTTTTTCAATCTCAATTTCTTTTTTAACATATTCTTTTATTTTGTTTTTTCAAGGGTTTTCCCACTTGACATTGTTGATATTTGACATATTTTTTTTACTTTGTTATATTTGCCTCCACGCCGAGCAAAAACCATTTCACGATACAAAAAAACGACCAATGACTAAACTCTTGCGAGGAGGACTTTTTTGGTGGGACAATGCCCAAGTTATAGATTAAGGAGATTTCGCTCCCTTTTTAGAAATTAGTTGTTGAAATTTAGACATAACTCATTCTGCATAAAGGAACATTACTAGAACATGAATTAAAAAATAAGTCAAAAACACAACGAAATTTAAGGAATTGAAACTGCATACAGGAAAAAAAATAGTCATCATAATTCCACAAAATATAGCACTTAAAATAATCAAGTTTGTCACAATTGTAAGATTAGATTGTTGTTTCTTAAATTCAGTAGGATAATTTTGTGCTGCTGTTTTTAATATTTGTCGTCTTTTTTGTTCGGCAGATTTAGAGAAAAAGGATTTTAGTGTTAGCATAATGGTTAAATTTTGGGTTAGGCTTAAATATTTTGACACCTACATAGAAAGTAAGTTAGTTTAAGGAGATTCCGCTCCTTTTTTAGAGATGAGTTTTTGTCATCTTACAAAAAGATGTTCTAGATACAAAAACAAAAATAATATTGAAAACCAAAATACGACAAAAACAAATAACGAAATAAACGCATATTCTCGAGTTATGGGGGATGGTTGGATGCAGTGTAGAGTTACACTAATTACAAAACTCGCAAGGAGAAAAAAATAAAATCATCGCACAAAAGATCTGGCTCTTTTAAATTCTTTAGGGTGGTTTTTTTTTATTTCCTCCGCCGTTTGAGATATTTTTTTACTGGCAGATTTGGAAAATAATGATTTTATAACTAACATAATGGGTAATTTTTAGTAAGGAGAATTTTATCTTGTAATTCGATTTGGTTGAGATTTCTTTTTTTCATATCACTACATATTAATCATTTATATATTATATTTTAGCAAACCTTATTAAAATAATAGTTATATTCAATGAAATTAAAATTTATTTTTTTACTGGAAATGCCTTCCCGTGTGCTAGGAACTAAGCGGATTGAGATTAATAAAGAGTTGAAACAATTATCCTATTTTCAACCCAAAAGAAATGTTTTTTTAATGGAGGTAGATTCTAAAAATGTGATTGAAGGGATAAAAGCGTGAGTGATTAAAAAAAGTTCTATTCGAAGTAAAGTTTATTATTACCAAATCATCGACTAGCAAATTGGTAGTTTGGAAAACTTTAGCCCGTAGTAGAGAGTTTTATTTGATGAATGCAATGAGAAAATTAACTGGATAATTAAATATCATGAATTAGTTAGTGTTTTTAATTTATCGGTAATAGGCACGTTACACCTAGAATTAGAAGAAATTGATAAAAAATATATTAAAAAAGCATAATCATGCCAATAAATTACATTTGCGAAAGTTGCGGAAGTAGTTGCCAACAGTGTTGTGGCAATAGGAATAAAACTCTTATCATTAAAGACTATGACTATTGTCAAGAAAATCCAGCGAGTAAATATGAAGTCTACCTAGAAAGAATGGTGGGGGAATTAGAGAAAAAAAGAGAAGAAATTGATTCTTTATCAAAACCGGAACAGCAGTTAGACAGAATGCGACAGTATTATTCAAAATCTGAGAGATTGAATAATTATTTTTCTAAATATCGCGATAAAGGAAGTGGTAGTGAAAATTATCATAATTTTTTACGAGCCAAAGGTAAATATCTTTTGCGATATGACCCTTGGGCGAAAGAAGCCAAGGTTATTGCTAGTTTCGAAAGAACTCTTATCAATGGTAGTTGAATTAGTGTCATCAAAAGTTCAAGAATTGATTATAGTTGAAAAGGTTGAATAAAAGAAAGGTGATAATCATTGCCAAAAGATGAAACTTTAATTAAATATTATCGCTTAAAAGATAAGAAGTAATACGAAAGAAAGGAGAGGGGGATTTTACCGTTTATTTCTTATAAATAAAATTTAGTGATTAATTTCTGAGTGAAGGCAATTGCGGTTGGTGACCCGTCTAAGGCCTTTTAAATCCGCAAACTCGCCTTCACTTAAAAGTTAATTCATTAAATTTAACTTTCGACCCGCCTATTAATTTTTCAGTGAGGCCAGTTATGATCATGGTACCCAATTTCTTATAATTAATAATACCAATAAGTAACTGGTCTCACTCAAGCATTAATCCTTTACATATATGCGTAATACTTAAATTTTAGAGATAAATAGAAAGTTAAAAATAAAAGAAGTGAAAGGGTTTAAACAGACTTGAATAAAAGATAAATTAAATTACATCTAAGTTTTACTTTCCGTTAACTTTCTTCATTTTGCTCTCTCTCTCTCTCTCTCTGATGGATTATTATTTATAACTTGTTTTTTAGTTTTTTTTTTGTTGAGAATAAAAGTTGGTTCAGATACTCCGCCTATTGTTCCGGTGGCAATATATTGACGTAAAAGTTTTTGTTTTTTTTCACTGCTAATTAGTTTACGGAATTCTCATTTATAATTACGGTAAAGTTTAATCAAACAGTTATCACAAATTTTCCTTTCTTTGTTTTCTT